TCTTCCGTGTGCTGGTCGAGCCCCGGAGTTCTTAGCTAATGTGCCCGACTGGTACCTCTGATGTACAATCGTACGCTGTTCTGCAGCTAGGCCGCATGTTCTCACGGGGTGACCTAGAAATACAGTACCGGTATATGTATTCCGCTTGGGGAAAACGTCCGTGCCAACAGAATTCCTGCGAGGCATCGTATCATATCATACCATGAGCACAGTCCGGAAACAAGCCATGCGGTACAGAATGATGTGCCCATGACCACACCCCACACTTGCAACCGCACCTTATAGGATCGCCGATGTTGGTGAGGGGGACGCACGGGCATGTCTATACCTCTGCTGATCTCCTAAACCATGCCAGTTTATACTCTGTTGGGCGGAATGTGCCGCATTCAGAGATGGCCTTGCCGCTGTCTATTGGCTCTCGGGGGAGGGGTCAGCGTAGGCTTTTTCCCGAATGGCAGTACCCCAGAGATAAGATATGAGTTGCAATACAATGGCAGAACGGTAAGGATTAGAAACAAAAAAGGGCAGTTCGATTGAAGCTTACCCATTCTTGTCAGAGAAATAATGCAGGTGTTTTCAGCTTGTTCTTGGGGTTGTTTAGTAAACAGCGTTCCAGGCCCGCCATGACTTTCTTTTTTTTCCCTTGCTGTACAAAAGACAGGACTTCGCCTTATTTCTTAGCTAGCTTCCTACCACCCCAAATGCAGGCCCGACATTTACCTACGTGGAGGAGCGGAAGCTGGACCCATTGTCATAGCGGACGCAGCAGCAAAAAAGCACACCTGCAGTACTTATTCGAAGCAACACCGAAGCAATACCGCTGTAGCTACTGAGGCCCTAGAGATTGCCAGGTGTTCTCGGGCTGTAACTGTCACATCAGTGTTACCAATTCCGTGAGTTTTCCCTTGCTTTCACATTTGCAACGAAGCGAGTGACACTTAGTGACTTCAATTGCGAGCACGTCATCGAGGCTATAGAGCTTGAAACGAGGAGTATCGTATGCGTCCAGTCAGTGGGATGTAAGGTGTTGTTTCGGGTGCCGGACGGCCCAGCCTTGTACGTGGCCACTAGTTATGGGGCGGAATCATACCAAGCTCTGTTTTCCCAATATCTGCGACGAAATAAAATAAAAAAAGTTCCACCATAGCGCAGAAGCATCTCGTGGCGTCCGAAATTGCAATGGTTTGATTTCAGGGATGATCGTGAGAACCGGGTGATTGTTTATGACTCTCGGATTCGCTTCCAGATTGCGCAATCAACCGATTGAGCAAAGCTCTTTTTTTCGTCTTGGGGTGTACGTATCCCCCACTCAAAGGCCCAGTCTTTCATCGTGCAGAACCAGACAAGAATCGACGAGGGGGGAATGGTCCCCAGCAGGGTTAGGGTTAAACTGGAACCCAACAGAGGGGAAGATAGTGCCCCAACGCTCAAATCTGTCCATTCAAATTGGTGATTTTTCTCAAAGTCCTCAAGGTCGGAGCGGATCCACATAAACCATCACTCTGCCACCTTGGGCTTTGGCCATTCCTAGCGTTGTCCGAACCCCGAGGGTAGACAAGGTGGGCCTGGAAACCCTAGCCACCGTCGTGGTTATCATAGAAGGAGGACAGTGGTGCTCGAGTAACACCGAACGGCACAATATTGAGAGCGTAAATTTCGAGACGCCCAGGGTGAACTCCGAGAGCGCCCGGCTCCCGGCAGTGGGTTAGGCCTCCAGTGTTCAGGAGCTCGGAGGGGAGTTGTCGAAACTGGTGGAGAACCCATGTGAGGTGAGCTATCCGTTTTGCCGGTGTTTGGTAGTCAAGGCAAGTGTGGAGGAAGGAATCCCTTGCTTCCTTCCCCCGGATTCCACATTATTTAGCCCCTGTCGGTAACAGCGCTTAGCCGTGAAGGGGGGGGGGAGGACAAAAGAAAAAACATGCGGGGCAAACGGGCATGAGTACTCGTACAGTACGAGTACTGTAGTTTTGTGACCTCACAAATAAGAAATATTCCGACTGCAGACCTCACTCCACCAATGTTCTTTTCAACCCAATATAGTTAGTTAGCTTATCATTGTGGCAGAAGATCCCAAAACGGGGCAGGGGTATTGTGATTCCTTGTACCGCACTCTGTACTGTACTCCTACTCGTACCTGTTCCTTCTCGGATTTCCCCTCTTGGAACAAGAAACACACAGACCTTTGGCTTACGGTAGCGTTCAGCTTTCAGTTTTGCAATATATCTGACTAATACCTTGAATCACCAACAATCACCCATTTCTCCGCTATTCCAGCGCCTTTAGAAGCCAAATCACCGCTCGGCTGTCCGTCCAGAGTAATCCTATTGTAAATCGCCAGAGGTCTCAACTCTACCCCGCGTAATGTGCACAATGAATGGAATAGAATACCGGTACCGGGAGCGTGACATGAAGCAGGGATTAGCCTTCTTCGCCTGTCAATTATCCCGCCCCGAACGGCACGGGAAAAGGGTACATACGAAACGCTTACGGCACGGAAGCGACGGAAGTCGGGACGGGTAACTACCGCAGGCTAGATATTCCGCAGTGGCGTCAAGCATTTTAGCGACTTCCATCCCCACCTCCCCAAGTACAGTACTTCAACTGCTAAAGTGTTCTCAATGCTGAGCATTGGTCCTCAATTTCCCTCTGGATCACAGTCTCCCTCTTGCCGGTGTGTATCCGGAATCGAATGGTGCGTGGGGAGCTTACCTAAGGTGCAATACGAATGAGTAGCTGTGCGAAGAGAAATGTGGATTTATTCCGTGATCCTTCTTTGTATCCGTACACATGTACGTCCCTCACTAGATGTATAAGCCTAGCTCGTGCCTGATATCAACTTTTCGAGAGGCATATTTGTGAGAAACCGAACCCCAGTCTTGGGGACCTTGGCGAGGGCTTTGGGGGAATGCGGGAATGGAGTCCTGGCCGAGGAGACGGTATAGCACCAGCTCATCTCGATCTCTGCCCCCTAGGTTACCTATAAAGAATGGTAGACATAGCTCTAGCGAGAAGGGCCGGAACAGAGGGAGGAAACCACGATACAAAGAACCCCATATCGTATGATACCCCCCAAGCGATCGGGAAGCTCGCTGCCTAATAACCTCACAGCAAACCTACGGCGCAAAATTTAATGGCAGAGCATCATGGGCAAAGTCATATGCTCCCTGATCAAATCGAACCCGATACCGAACCATAACTCATGAATCGAGCGACTGGGTATGTTACTGATGTTAAATTAACTTGCCGACTTTAGTAGGGACCCAGTCACCAAACATGGCATCCCAAACTCGCTAGCCATATTTATGCGATAGATCCCTCTCCCCTCTCGCTACAAAACTTTCTCAGCCTGGCTAGTCCGCCTTATGATCGACTACATACATTCTTACCGCCCCTGCATAGCCTCCTCAACCTCAGCGAGCTCGCTCATTCCAGACCTTCAACCAAGAAGAAAGGGCATAAACCGCCAGAATACTCTGCACTAAAACAGGAAGAGATCCATTCCAATTACATCAATGACATATCTACGCGAAAACGGGGTAGGCCATCACCGGAACTGTGACCACAAAATCAGGGTCTCGTCTGGCGCAACCTGATTCGTAAAATACAGTACCTCAAGGCTCACCGGTAACTGTTTGATTTGGGTAGTTCAATAGGAATCAATCAAGCAGAAAGGTGTTGTCCCTTTTGGATTTTTTTTTTGTTGCTATTCAAAAGAGAAACAAGAGAGAAACAAATCCGAGGAGAACAAGTAGAAAGCGAACGATGCCCACGAATACCCCTTCAAACACTACAAGTATATACTAGAATTTATACGTAATCCCCACTATCGATCGATCTTCATCCACAGACTCCAGAAACCCATCCAGTACAGAGATCCGGTATATAATCCAACCTATTATCCCCAAGTGGATACGGTGCTCACGACCAGAGAGAGAGAGAGAGAGAGAGATAAACGGACAAAGAATCCATCACCACCGATAACCAATTTTCCAATCCAGATCACCAAGAATCAGACACAAACAAACAAACAAACCACATGGCGCAAAAACAGCCTCTTGACTCCCCCACCACCCATCCATCCAACCAATCCTGTCAAGAGCCTCGATTCCCTAAGCCAAAGTCCTCAACCGTAATATCCAACGCCGGGACCAGAACCCCCCAGGATGAGAAGAAGAAGGAGAAGAATACAGCCCTCAAGCCAGAGATCTGTTCTCACCGGTATACAAATTGCATCATGTCAACCCCACCCCAACTACCGTATCATCTCGATTATTACTATTGTAGAATGTACCATACCAGTAGTAAGTGAAGACCCCCCCCCCCCCAACTCAGTGATTAATAGAGATGGACGGACGAACCGGAGGGCTCGCATAGCCCAAAACGATGCCGAGAAAAAAAAAGATAAAAAGATAAAAGTCGTCCCATATCAACCCTGTCGAAGCAGGCAAGAATGTGTTCGGCCATAGAACGATGAAAATTTCGCATCCCGTCCGCTCTGCGGTAAACAAGCATCGTATCGACCGGTTAGTACTACAGTGGGTGACCATGTGGGAATCCCGGTTGCTGAACTCTTTTTTGCATTCCTTTTTTTCCCCTCCGTTTGCTATCGAGTGTTGCTTTACGGCTGGGTTGGGGGGGGGGGGGGGTTGTAGAAAGTTTCCCCTCTTCTGCGGGAATGTGGTGAGGGTTGGCTGGTTGAAGTTGGGGATGTGTGGTGGGGGGGGGGGGGGATTCCGGTATCTCGAGTAGATGTGCGGGCTTGTGTACGACGCTGCGGCACAGTAAAGTGTTTTAGTCTAGCAGTGGGTGATCCTGCTACAATAATACTCAAGTCTCATAATATTATGATGGCGGCAGGGGTTTACACACTTTTTATCCTTTGCGAGCATTCACAAGAGGTCACTCGAAGCTTTGCCGGGTTGTGGGCGCCAGGTCACTATTGTAGCCGGAACATACTAGTGACAAGCACATCATGCTCAATCCCTGGGGAAAGAGGAGAGAAAGAGGAGATCTGAGTTGGATATATCATCCCCAGAAAGAGCGCGCATCAACTACCGGTACTAGTATCTAATAATCTACACCTCAGGAATCTTCTCCCCCTCCAAGGTAACCCCCTGTAAATCCCCCTCGATGCCGGCAGCCCCAGTCCTCTCCTCCTTCTGCGCAAGTCTTTTGCGAATCTGGGCAACCAGGTCGTCCATGCTGACGTCCACACCATTCTTCTCAGGATGACCTTCTGGCAGCCCCATCTCTTTGACCTTGACTTTGCCCTCCTTCAGCTCATCCTCGCCGAGAACGACAGCGAAAGGGACACCGCCCCTATCCGCATTAGCGAATTGCGGGGGAAGCTTAGGCTTATTCTTGTACATGAATTCGGCCTGTATCCGTTAGTATCTGCTCTAGATAGAGGAGGGAGGGGAAGGGGACCTTAATGCCAGCATCCCAGAGAATTCTGCAAACCTCCATGCGTTCTTTAAGCAATCCTGTGAATCCTTTACCGCCAAACGCCATGACGTATACTTCTACTTCATTGCCGCGGACTTCGCCCGTCATGCGTGCCTTTGTAATGCTGAAGATACGATCTACACCGAAGGATATACCGACGCAGGGAACGCGGCCCTTGGCGCTCTTGGCAAACATGCCGACTAGTTCGTCGTATCTACCGCCTGCAGCGATCGACCCGATGCCGATGGAGTCGTCGTTTGAGCGGTCGGCGTCTGGGTCGTCAGGTTTAGGCGCCCGGTGCGATTTGGCGGATTTGCCGGCTGGTGGGGCGGAGGCTTCGGTCACTACCTCATAGATTATGCCTGTGTAGTAGTCTAGCTGGGTTTCCGGTTAGATTCTGAGTAAATTGGGAATGGAGAAAAGAGGGGGGATTACCCCGCGAGCGAGGGAAAGGTCAAAGGAGAGCTTTGGCATGACGCAAAGAACTTCGAGATAGTCGAACAGAAGACTCATATCTTTGAGACCGCCAACGAAGGATTCATTGCCGGTCAGGGTTTCATCCCCTAATAACTCGTCCAGCAGCTCTTTCCCACCCTTCTTCTGAACGTATTCTCCGATCTTGTCGGCGACCTCCGGAGCTAACCCTTTCTCCTCCGTCATCTCCTTACGCACCTCTTCCCATGTAGCCTACACGATAAGCACAGGTTAGCAACCTATTCCAGCACATCAAATCACTCGACATACTTTATCCAGCTTATCCACCGCACTGGAAATACTCCGAATCTTGTCCGTCGGAACGCCACAGACCTGAAACAACCCGTCGAGAATCTTCCGATGATTAATTTTGATAGTATAGCTGCCCAAGTTCAGACTATCCAAGATCTCCGCAGTGATCCTCAAGATCTCAGCATCAGGAAGCATAGGATCGTAGGTGCCGGCGATATCGAAATCACACTGGTAGAACTCCCTCATCCGGCCTTTGGTCATAGCGGGTTGATCACGGCGGTATACCTTGGCGATGTGGTAGCGCTTTATGTTCTGGACAGACGGGTTCATAGCGAGCCAGCGCGCAAACGGGACCGTCAGGTCGTAGCGCAGGGAACAGATTTCTCCGCCCTGATCCGCCAGGTCGTAGATCAGCTTGGAGTCCTCTCCGTATTTGCCTGTGAGGACTTCACGGAGTTCAAAGACGCTAATACCTCACCGGTCAGCTACCTTTGTTTGCTTGCCCTCCTTCCGCTAGAGGAGAGAGAGAAAGCGAGCATACGTACGGAGTATCGATGGTAACGGCCCCATGGCGCTTAAACACATCCGTGATGGTAGAAAATATCCTATCACGGATAACCATATCCTTCCCCTCCCAATCCTTCGTTCCCTTAGGAACCTTCAACTCAAACCCTCTCTTCTCCTTCCCGGCCTTTTCCTTTGCCTTTCCCCTTGCTTTCTCCCTTTCCCTTCCCGTTTCCTTCGCCGTTTCCCTCACATCATCTTCGTTTGGCGGCATGGCCGATTCGCTTGTAGAGTAATTTCTCTTGGCTCGAAGATCTGGTCTAGATAGCAAAAGTAGTGTACGTGGCAGCGGCAGTGGGGGAGATCGGAGGAGCAGCCCGGTGAGTGTTCTTGTGATGGTGGGGGCTAATGAGGGGTAATGGTGGGGCATCGCGATGCTGTGACGCGTTGCGAGCCGAAGGGGGAAAAGAAAAAAAAAGGGACTTTGCCGTTGACTCAACCGAACAAACAAATCCCGAAAGTTGCGGCGAGTTAAACTCAGTGCTTGTCCGAGAGGAAAGCACACCGGCAGACCGACTATTCACAAATAATTAATACTTCCAGTCTCTAAGATAGTACCGTTGATCCTTCTCTCCATGATACAATAATTATCATGCATTAGCTCCCTTTCCGTTCCCGATAATAACCCGGTAGTAGTCTTGAGCCTCAGGGTTAGGGCTCCACAGTCCGATCCGGCTGGACTTAAGAACTGCCGAAGAGTGCTACTGTACGAGGGTAAGAGCAACAGTACCATAGTATGATATGCTGAGCCCGTAATGGGGTGCCGGTATGATCCATCGAACAGACAACATCCTCGCCAAATTCGGACCAGACTGCCAGCCATGAACTCGAGTGATCCAGAGTGATCAACAGTGGCCGGCAAAGGGACATACACTGACGTACCGTAGTGACAAAGTATCCACTCCTATCGATCCCTAATCGCGCGGCGCCATGTTATAAGGGGGGGCTAGAGCATTACCCTTTCCACAGTTTCATTCAGCTTCGAGATACTCGAGTAGACCAAAGCTACCAACACTACGAACCCGGGGGGGGGAAGGACGGTTCGCGGGTACGGCAGATCATATTGTTCCCTTTTGAGCCCGGTTTTGATGCGACGCACTATAATAGCCGCACTAGCCAGAGTATGCCATGGCGCTTTGCGCGTCGCCGTAAACACTGAACTACCTGCCTGCCATCAGCTTCCTCGCATTGTGACTGTACCATGGCCGTGAATATTCGAATCATCATCAGGGCATAAGTATTGACTTGGACTCTATCATCCCCATCAACCATCTGCACTGTCATGCATGTATGTGTTTTCGGTCCAGCAATTAGTTAGCACCCCCCCCCCCATACAGAACTCCCTGCCTCAAACATCGTCGAAGACCAGAGTGCAGACCGAACAGAACTCAAGTTGAACTGCCAAATGGTACTGCAGTTCCCGTTTCATTCCTAATCTTTGAGCCCCCACATAGTAAATTAAGTTACATGATACCAAGTTAAGTCAAAAGGGTTTTTGTTATATGAGGGCTTTTGCAGCCCCAAAAGCATCCATTTTCTCCCCCCCTTCAATTCTAAGAACACAAATGCCTATGAGAATCTACCAAAATTCCGGAGCGAATTACCGATCCTGTGGATAGTGCGGATGGCATTGCAGAGCCCTGGGAAAGCACAAAACCGTGGTGAGGGTGCGGCTAGAGTGGGAGTCAGCTAAATTCAGTTTCTATATACCGGGATGCATGATGTATAAAATTATTATGATGCCTTTTTGTATTATATGGATATATGGAGCCCCCACCTACAAAATCTAAACTCACTTTCACACCAGCTCTCACGATTTTAGATAACACGGGCGATTCCCTTTTCTTATCATCCCCCACCCAAAGTGAACAATCGTAGAATTAAATTTCTAGCAAGCAGCATCAAACCCATTTCCTGCTGGATTAGCGTTTGTGGTTAGTAAACCAAAAAAACACCCATCTTTGACCCAATTTGACGCAAAAACAAGTGTCCAACAAACAAACAAACAAATGCTTTTGGCGCCGGGGCTTTAAACCTCTATCAAAACAAACCACCAAAACAACACCACGAGTGACCAATTATGACTGCGCCCGGCAGGATCAGAACTCTCGATTAATTTCGAAAAAGCCATTAATTTCATATCATTACTATCGTAATCATGAGCGCATAAGAGCATGATGCCAATCCAGCCAAGCTAAGATGAGGCTAAGCCGGAGGTGAAAAGAGGAAAAAGGGGAGGAAAAGGGAGGTATCGAAAAAGGAATAACAAAGAAAAAACAGAAAAATGGTAACTACCCAAACCCACGACTCCAGAAGAAGGGAAATGAAAAGAGCCCCAAAAGATGAGATCGAAAAGGGAACAAAACGGGTATAAAGTTAAGCATCAAGGCGGACAAGAATTGAAGATGAAAGTGAGAACTAGGCACCGCCTGTCACCCTTGTTGTTTTGTTAATGAAATGGTGAGAAGCAGTGAAATGGGGTGATAAGAGAGAAGTAATAATCTGCATCCCACGAGTGGTTTTTCTGCTTCCCGTTTCCGTTGCTCGTAAATGCGGAAAAGTAGGCCGCCGGATATATATGAGATGAAAAGATGAGAGGAAGGAATAAAAATTCTACATCAGAAAGTGTGTTCCGAGCGCTGTATGCAAAAGAGAAATGCGGCCTACCGAAAAAAAAAAAAAAAGAACAAATAGTGGGAGTGGAAAAAGGGGAAAAAAGGTTTGCTATCATACGCAGAACATTGAACACCCGTGAAAGCAACCAAACCGATAAACTCCGCTCACGTATGCCCATCTTTCATGAATTACTTCAAGGTCTAAACATGCTATCCATCACCTTCCGGGCAAATCCCCCCATCTCACCCCCTTCTCTCAATAGCTCATCGAACCCCTCTAACTGTCTAACTGCATGGAACATCTTGGCCACATAAGTTGTGATGCTATCCCGTAGCAAAGCGGTTTCGTTGTCCTTTCCATAAACGCCACCTCTGTAGCCCCCATTTCCATTACCAGTACCAGCCATACTGCTAGAGTTGCTAATCCTGCTTGTACTTCTTCGCTCAGTTGTCATAGCCAACCCAACATCGCTTCCTTCGGCTGCTTGACCAAAAGCAGAAGCAGCACCCTCTCGATTCTCCATGACAGAACTTGCCACCATGGGGTCGTTGAGTGGGTATCCGCTTCCTGAGCCGCCACCATAAACATATCCATGTGTGTATCCGGCGCTCGGGCTTCCTTCTCTTGGCAACATCCCCGACCCACTGAGCGAGGAGCCCACTCCACTATCCCTCTTTCTGGTAGATATGCTCTCCGGCAAGTCTTCAAAGGCAAATCTAATCAATCTCAATAGTCTCTGGCTAGGTGGATTGGGGCACGCCAGGTCAAGTAATTCATTCATAAGATGGATCCGGATAAGGCTCTTGAGCTGGGAGATCCCAAACTTGTCTGCCATTAAGAACAATGCATACTTCTGTTCATCCAATTCCTCCTCTTCATCCATCATCTCAACGGTGTTCTCATAGGTGTTGAGATAGTCATAGGTTTGATCCTCTGGTGGTGGTTGTGATTCGGCAAAACTGCCGGCAACCGTTGATACGGCATCATCCATGCCACGCGGTGGAATGTTCGGGGGGGAGCGTGGCGAAAGGTGCATGCCATCCGGGGTGGGCTTTTTTGCTGCAACGACAACGCTTGGGGATCCTGGTATGTAACCATTTGTATTCATGCTCGGTGCCAGTGGGTACTCTCCGGTGTACAAGAACTCCAAGAGGGCTTCAAAAATCTTGGGATCCTCGTCTGGTAAAATAATTCTTCCCTCTCTTGCTTCCCTAAACCCTGGTCTTAGCGCCGCCTCAAACCATTCACTCCTGGCTGCAAGAATTGCTTTGTGCCCATGAACAATATGCCTCTCGGGGCCAACAACCAGTTCCAAATCAGAGTATTTTCGGCTATTGATTAGTGATCGGAGATTCTTCCCTACAGGATCAACAACAGTCACGCCACTCGTTTTCTGATCCCAGTAGCTCGCCGGAGCAGAAGCAGCACGAGCAGCCGCGTGATTGGCACTGATCATAGTGCTCCCTAATAAGTTACCGGTCATGGTCGGGCTCAATGGGCGTCGCATCTTCTCGCCGTCGGGGTGGTATCTCAGTCGACATACAATATCGACGGTGCGTCTCGTATTGACGACAGGGTCTCGAAGCAAGATGCTGTTGTCAAGCAGTCCAGGGAAGCCCCACGACAACTGGTTCTCACGGTAAACAGCGACCGTGCTCTTATCCTTCAACTGTCGACCCTCAGAATTGAGGATCACAAACTGCAAATAACGGATGTCTCGAGTCCAAGTTCGCTCCTGGAGTTCATTGTCGGTCATGACAACGTAAAGGAAAATTCCATACACCCGATTCCCGGCCGAGTCGACGTTCTGTTGAAAGAGCATTCGCCAAACCCAACCGTCAGGATGGCCGAAATTTTGCGAGTATCTGCAACCACCGTCAGCCCCAAATACCTCCACAAACATCGCGAGCTCGGGGGAGTAGAAGCATACGTCTCGAAATCTGCCGACAAATCGACGTTTCGCCATCGGTACTAAACGGTTACAGAAATTAGATGTAGTTAATGGTACGGTAGAGCTTGAAGTAAAACTTACCACCCAGGTGACGTATTCCGATGAAACAGAGTTGATCTCCAGGGTCATGGGAGACAACGGAATGTGGACTATAGATGCTGCCATTTCGATTTCTTCCACCTCAATTCGTCGTACATAAAACGGCTAACCCGATTCCGCCGATGTGCTGAGCGGCGCAAGCCCGTCCGACTTGCTGGTAACTCCTTGGAGGTGTTGCAGAGGAGAATTCAGGGTAGAGGCTTTGGGAATGACGGCTTCGTTTATGAAGACACTGCACGCGCAGATAGAGGGAGAGGAAGTACCGTACTCGCTGAGGGTGGATAGCCCTGCTGTGTCAATGTCCGTTCGGGAGGGACGCTACTATGCCTAACCTTCCAGCCATGAAGCGAATTAGAATTTGAATCGCGAGGTTTGGAAGAGCTCGATGGATAAAACAAGAAGAGGTCTATTATATACCGGAGAATATGACTATCTAAGGGACGGAGGCAAGTAAGGCGAGAGAGCAGAGCGCTAAAGATTTGTGGAACACGTTTGTACCGCACGTTTAAAGTGACCTGTTTTAAGAGGGAAAGAAAAACAAAACTTTCTAAGGTGCTTGTTGACCCCACCCTAGGCTCGCTTTGCCTGCTTGGGGGACTGTCAAAAGGGAAAAAGAAAAGAAAGCAGGTTTGACGTGTGTGTGGGGTAGCGGGTACTGGGTACGACCTGACGCCGTACGGCCGCGAATGTCGATGATTTACCGGGTGAGTGATTGAGTTGACTGAGCACACGCAGCTTAGTGAGGGTGGAGGCGGAGGAATGATCAACAAGGAGGAATTGGGCGTGTGTGTGCGTATGGAATGGAGGTGAAAGAAGGAAAAGACAAATGTGAGGGGTGGTGATGGAAGGTGTGAGGGGTTCACGGGGGGCGCGGGCTGGGTGGAAAGGAGGGAGGTGGGGGGATTACGGTAAACCGACACGGCGATATAGCAGTGAAGGGAGGAAGGGGTGGGTGGTGGTGGTGGTGGTGGTGGTGGTGGTGGTGGGAAAGAGTGAAGGCGAGAGAGGACGAGAGAGTGAGAAAAAGAGACAGCGGTGTCACGGCGAGGTAGGCGAGAGCAGAATAAAGTAGCAAAAGCAGAAGGGTGTCGAGGCACAGAGGGAATGATGAACGAGCGAACGAACGAGGAAAGCAGGCAAGCAGGCAAGCAAGCAGTAGCGACAAGCGGAAGAGCAGTGCAGACCAGATCGCCGGCCACGCTGGCCAGCGAAGCCCGGAGAGAAAGCAAGCCTGTCTGGCATGCTGTTGTCGTTGTACTGTACATGGGACATCCCCTTCCACTCTCCTGCCCACCCCTCCCCTCCCGTTCAGTCGAATTGACCAAGGACCAGCCAGCGAGCGGCCCAATCCCAGCCCAGGCGGCGTGTATTTTCCCCTCATTGATGGAGAGCGGCCGCATCGGGGCGAAAATGCACACAATCAATGTGCTCTAATTCGAGCATTTCGGCAAGCATTCTTCTACAAATAGAGAGTGAGGGATAGTGAACGAGCGTTAGCATAGGGTAAGGGAGAGAGATATGAGAGTATGATATGGAGTGCGGATGCCAATGGGATAGGGTAGGGTACGATAGGAAGGAAGGAAGGAACGAACGAACGAAGGGGAAGGAACTGAGGGAGTGAGACGGGGAGGGAGTGGAGACAGAAGGGGGTGGCGGTGAGTGGGCGGCCAGTGAGTCTCATCTGCTTCCTGCTTGCATACGTGTTCAGGCGTGGTGAGCGTCTGTCCCTCCTTCTGCACTCTAGCTTCCCAAGCGTGCGCCAGAAGTGTGTGAGCACGAAATTCCGTGTGTGGTCCGTTCCACCTATGCGCGTGCTTAGCATAAATTTCTCTAATTGTGCGGGAACCCGTTCTATCGGTGGCCTGTGGGGAAAGGGGATATCTGGGGAGAGCAGAGAAAAAATGATAGCGAGGAAGAAGGGAGGGAAAAGTAAAAAAGGATGGTCGATGGGAAAGCGGTTCTGCGTTGTCCCAGCACTTTTCTCGGCCCCCGCCTAACCCCCCCCCCCTCCTCTCCCTGCTCTTTTTTCTATCTATTTTTTTCCTCCCTCTTCACCTGCTCGACAATCTCCCCTCTGACAGGCTGTTTGGGCGCGCGTGTTGCCTCCCAGCAAATCGAAGGCTGCAGCTTGTTCACAGGTGGGTTACTGTAATGTGAATGTGGGTATCCCTTCGTTTCGTTGCCATTCGCCAGGCAATGGATGGACGGATGGCCAGCTGTACAGATAGACACAACAGAGCAGAAAACTAATTCGAAGCCCAAGCCTTTGTGTGATTACTCGGCGCTGGCCACCCCCGTTTGGCCAATCCGTTTTCGTTCTCCTGCCACAATGTTCGAGTGCTAACACCCACCCCCAGACGATAATAGCCACAGGATAGAATCACAATTGCGATTGTAGGGCAGACCGTACCCTGGTAAGCGGAATGAAAGTGAAAAAAAAAATGAATTAGGAAAAAAAATGAAAACATATGTCACCAACGTATGGAGAGCTGTGGGGGGTGGGAAAAGAGCGCCCGTGATGCATTCCGCATATACATGTGTGTTTATACATGTGTGTTATGTGCGGCCCATGTACCTACCGTCCTACCGATTTAGTAGCTCTCGAGATACATTGCGGTACCATGTCACTCGTACAAAGCTCAGCCTCGCAGTGTCATTTATCTCTCGCAGGGAGCCATAGCCTATGGATATCGGATCATACGTCCCGCTTCCTAAAGCCAGTCTCGTCTTGAAGTCTTGACACTGTATCGCTAGCCCGATGGGGCGAATCTTGGAATCTTCCATACAGAGGCTCCCACGATCCCCACAAGGCGCCGGAATCCCATCAAGAGAAGTAACAGAGAAGTAAAAGAGGTATATATATACATATGTTATATAAATTAAAATCACATCCTTGTACGATATAAAGTGCTTGCCTACACAGCCAGCCTAACTTAACCTTGTTGAAGGGGTAAAAAATAAAAAATAAAAAAATAGGGCAAGCCAAGATTCATGCGATTAACATCGCCAGCAGTTCCTCATCAGTATCATATAAGTAAAAGAGGAAAAAAAAAAAAAAGACTTGCGGTTTCTACCTGTATCTATTTTCTCCAAATGCAACATATTATTATATGATACAACAATATACGGTGGCTCCGGTCGAATAGCTTTCCCAGCGCGTAGGACGGCCGGCGCCGTGTTGAGACGGTGCGAGTGATAGCAGCCGCCTTCAATATCGATACTGCAGCGCTTTTTGCTTACGCCTTGTGTTTCTTGGGCTGATCAAGGCAGGGCCTACCTACATACGACCCCTACTACTACTACCGTATCTCCAGAAAAGTACATATCATGGCAGATCGCTGGACACGTCGTTCGGTGCAGTACCCGTGCCTCACCCCCCCCTCCCTCCTCCCCCTCTCCAGCCCCCTCCAGGCCGTCTATTATGATGCCGGTATAGGTAGGTAGGTACTCGAGTATCGGGGGTTTCCGTCCTCCTCCTCCTCCTCCTCCGCCTCACCAACCTACCAAGCTTGCAGTATCAAGCCAACCCCCCTCAAAGGGGGATAGGAATTGAAAGAAACAAGTAGAAGGAAAAAGCGCAATAAAAAAAACAAAAAAACGAAGCAAAGGATCCCCCCTCTGAACCGGATAGCATCTTTTGCTCCTCCAATTTCTCACAGAAATCATTTCATCAAAACCGGGAAAAGGCAGTTTTTGGAAATCGCATGAGATTTTGGAAAACCTAAACCCTGTTTCTGTAGGAAATCAAACTGCTGAGCCATGTATCATTCACTGTCTAGCGCTACTACTGCTTCTAGTCGGTTTATAACAGATATGGAGGTAGAGTATATACTATTGTTTATATTATAGTAACTACCTGGTGGATATCAGGTCAACCGTTGATTGTAATAACAGTGCTGTGAACCGTTTTCACTGAGGATACTGATCATGCTGTAGAGGCACAATACTAGTATAATAGTCACTGGTAGCTACTAACCGGCAGTAGTGAGGGTAGCGGCTAAGAGAGGCATTGAAAGGGAATAATCGGAAACAAGAATAACCATTGGATCAAGCATGTTAGAAATACTTCTAGTCAAAGTCTGGTGTTTCTAGTAAGATGGAATGAGTAGTTTCTAAAATCAAATATCAAAACTGGTAATACTTGAAATAACATATAAAACAAACAAATTATAATCAAATACCTGTACTAGTTACAACTGTCAATAAATAATAGTCAATTTAAAGCCTTCTTCTATTCTCATCCTCAGGCTCTAATCTTTGTAGTCAAGAACAACCTGAATACCCCCTTCAGAGAAAACTTAAACAATATCCACCTAGTATGGGATAGGTTGAGTAAGTTGAAACTTATAGGAAGCCTCCCTAGATTCATAAAAAGTACATGGCAGTCACGGAGCGCACTCCCTCCTACTATAATATAGGAGCAGTTCCAACACTATTCTTTTTACGACTCCATGGAGGCTCTTCCAAAAGAAGTTCCAACTCTTCGCCCGGAGGCAGAGTACAGTATAGTACGGCATCATACCGTACTCGCGTCCATGACCACCACCACCGCCACCACCGCCACACTCCATCTCCCCATGACCGTCGATCCCAAACCCAATCCGCCCCATAATCGTATCTCAAACAACCTCTTCCAAGTCAGAAACCCTCATGGAACAAGTTTAAGGAAAGGAGGGGGGGGGCGGGGGCGGTGGGGAGGGTGGTTAGAAAGTCAAGTCGTTGTCCAATGCTATATTTTGATAAAGCGAAAGTCCCTCCCCCCCCCCCGGCCATCACGATCTGAATACCGGCATCTCCCCTGCCGATCCCATCAGCACTTACTTTACACCCACCCAACACACAACCTCAAACAACCCCCGGGGCAAAGCCGCCCACGAGCGACGTGCGCCATCAATGCCACTCCATCTCATCTTTCCCCGGAGTTCCACCGGTTTTGGTGTAAGCCACCGATGAGAAGTGCTGGAATAATCCCTAACTCATTGTATTCCTCCCACCTCGACAGTTCGCGAGGCCCGGAGGTGATGGTCGTCGTCGGCACTTATTTTATTCACGGGATATTTTGTGGATGCGAGAGCTGTGGTAGTATCTGGGTACCGGTAAATTAACACATACCGCTATGCACGCGCACACACACCCTCTCTCTGAGATGCGAGAGCATTCAGGAGTCGGGCACAAGAAAAATAAAATAACTCTCACATGCAAGGCAGAGCAGCACTTTAGTGGGAGGCAGAGGAGGCACTTGTGCTTCTACCGCTACAGTACTGTACTAATACCGTAGTTACGGTAGGTTGTTGGAAAAAAAAAATCCGATTCAACGCAAATTGTCTCCATCCCCCAGGGAATTCAACAGGTTAAATAATTTCTTCTTTCCGGAATAGAAAAGTCGAGAATAGAGAAGAAGGGGATGATGGAAAGCGAAAGGGAATAAAAAAAAGGATACCCTCTCCTAGATAAAAACACACCCAAGACAACTCCCCCGCCAACAGACTACCCTTCCCCCAAATCCCCTTCCCTCCCCCGCATACATAACCGATATCTCGCAATAGACAAGACAAAATCACCTGACCTTAGCGATCCAATCCGAGCACCACGGGATGCACAACAAATGAAAGAGAAAAACGAAAAAAGAAAACAACCAACACCAGACGTTAAAAAAATTAAAAAAAGCATTGGAAGGAAACCCACCCCCCCGACAAACACGCTTGGGCTGAACGAAAGGGTCGGGTAATATAGTGAATAAATGGCATGACGGACATGGGGAATTGAAAGACAAAACAATGGGCAGGGGAGGCGGCTCAGGCGGGGGCTGGAGGGGCAGACCAAACAAGAGTGCCGGTATTAAAAAAAGAAAGCTGGCCAACCCTCCATTGCCAACGCATGCGTCAACTACCCCAAAAAAAGGAAACACAAGAGCCACCAACACCACCATCCATTTCTCGAAAGAGCCAGAGGGGAAACCAGTCACTGGTACCATCATAATCAAAACAACAAAAGACAGAAAGCACTTCGGGAATGGCTTTTTTTCGTTCATGATATCACATCCGGGGAGGTTGGTCCATATCCTCTTCCTCTCCCCCCACCTCAACCCTATTCTTCCGTCCTGCAGCTCCCCTCAGGATTACATCCATTGCTTCTCTCATGCTTCTCTCGAGATTCCCTTTCCAGCTTCTCCGGATGCTCCCAAAACACCGCGGTAGGAAAATAAATAAACGTATGTATAAAAAGCGAATCTGACTGATGTGGGCGTGTACATTTGCGACCTGTTTCTTTTCTTCTTTTTCTTTTTCTTTTTTGTCTTCCAGGTAACATATCTCTTTTCTCTTGGGGGTCTCCTCGTTTGATAGTCGCATCTCATTCGGTGACGTGATAAGAAGCCCTCCAACCCCGCCGCATGTACCCCTCCCCCGCCAACCACCCAGAAAATTTCCCCGTCTATTCCTCCATTTGACCAAAGACGCCGTCCTCATCCTCCTCACTTCTCCCCCGTCCTTCCCATACCTCCTCCTCCTCGTCCTCCTCGTCCTCATCATCCTCATCATCGTCATCCTCCTCCTCATCATCATCTTCCTCCATCATGTTCCTTCGCTCTTCCAGATCTTCCATCCGTATATCGTCTCCCTCCTCCCCTTCTTCTCTTTTCATCTCCACGACATCGTTTAGCGGAGGCCCCAAGAAACCCGTCCTTCCGGAAACAGGCGGAGAGCTCAGCCCAGCGATTCCTCTCGGGACACTCCCTAATGGCACAGTAGGCCCGATAACAGGAGTGTTGAACGAACAGCTCAGTAACTCGATAGCAGCAGCAAGTGCTTCATCCTCCGGAGTTATACTTGCCGGTCTGATAGCCGGAGAAGTCATGTGTGATCCTCTGACATTACTAGCGGAGCTTCCCGCACGTGGTCTTGAGGGTCGGTGATGTGAAAAGTGGCTAGGGAATGCTGTCGAATTGGGTGCGCTCCCTCCCAGGGCTCCGCTCCCATGTGGGGCTTGATAAGACCGTGAATGTGACCCCGATGAATATCTCTTTCCCGGCTTGCCTGCCCCATTACGGATCCCTCGAGGCGTAGGTAATGGGCTTGTTACATCTGATCCCGAAAACACTGATGGTGGAGGCGTAGTATCGTCTGAGCTAGATGAACTGTCATTTGTTGAGGAATTGCCCTCGCCATTTGATGCACCCGACGATGAAGCCGGAGGGGTTGTTGTTGGGTTCATCGAAACTAATATCGAAGCTGCTTCGAGGAGCTGTACTTGCTGGTGCTTAGAAATGAGAAGCTTGGACGTGTATGACCATTCGGGCGTGTGCTCCCATCTATGTCACGGCCACAATGTCAATACCCAGAAGCCAAAAAGCAAGAATACAGCTCTCGGCTGCCCTTGAAGGGCGCGAAAGGATGATGCAGCCTAGTTCGATAGCCAGGCACTTGGGTCGGGTATGTTCTGCCTGTTTAGGCTAGGGCTAGGGAGAAGAGAGATAGGACAGGGGGTGGGGAAATTGAGAGATAAAGTTCGAGAGATTTCCAATGTTCATACAAGGTGTGGGGCAGGGACAGTGAATTGTAGTTCGTGTTCTTGCGAAACCAAGTGAGAAGGGCACGGAGGGGGAAACAAACAAGTGTTTGGTCAAACAAGAACTATGCTTATACCCCTTCCCACACTTATCACACTTGAGCTCACTTCCACTTCTTGCTCTACCAACTCTTCCCCCAACACCATCACCAGATTCCCCCGGATGAACATGAGCTCCCTCGCTTGCCCTCCTACCCCGTGCTGGCCGACCAATGTCAGATGCATGACCCTCCGCAATCGCACTTTCACCACCGCCAACAAGGCTACCAACTTTTCTCGTAAACGCAATCCCCGAAACAGTTCCCCCGACACCCCCGACACCCCCAACGCCTCCAACACCCCCGTTCAGCGGACCAGTAGTAGGTAGACTACTCGGCGGGCTTGGATACCCTTCCACCCCACCTCCACAGACACCGCCGTTCAACATCTTCGCACTACCCGGGCTCCTCCCCATCCCGCCAGCCGGAACTGGGAGAGCAAATGGTACTTCGTTCTTATCTTTCACGGCCTGTACGACCGCTGCAATATTCGCTCCGGATGTTGAAGACATACTCTTCCTCCTAGTGATCCTATGGCTAGACCCCGATGACCCTAACGACGACCGATGATGCGACGATGATGACGATGGAGGAGGAGTCTTTACGGGAACGTCCTTGATGTGCAGTGCCGGAGGCCGATTCGGTGTCGATTGTGGATGATAGCGTGAAGAGAGTGAGTCCTAATTTGTTAGTTAGAACCCTTCGTTATCCTCTTTTTAAAAAGCATTTTTATCCGCATTTTTTTCCCCCTTCCTCCCTCCAGTCTTTCTTTTTCCCCCGCAACCCCTGGCTCCTGCAAATCTTGGGAGAATACTGAAAGATGAAATAGAATAGAGATGAAAAGATAAGCTCTCTGTCAGACCGTACCTTTGTAGCTGCCATTACCTCTCCTGCTTCTCCCGCTTCTATGGTATTGTTTGGTAGGCAGGTAGAGAGCTCCTGATTCGATCCGCTTTTTCCTCTTTCTCCCCTACTTTCCTCCGCTTATTTCTTGTGTTTCCTCCCTCTGTCCGTTTGTGTGCGTACCGTACAATATTATCCAAATCCCGCAACCGTAGTTGAATAGTGCTTGCTCCTTTTTACTGATTGCTCCTTCCTTCTCGATAGTCCTTTCTTTCTTTCTTCCTCCGCTCTCTCTTCGGTCTTCTTCCTTCTCCTCTGAACAAGCGATGGAACAGATAGATAGCTAGAAAGATAGATCGAAAAGATGGAAAAGAAAGGGAAAAAGGCTAGTGCGCCTGCAAAACCTAGTGGGCAAGGTATTTGGAAGAAAAAAAAAATTATAAAAAATCGATGCGGAGAAGGGGAAGGGGAGGGTGCTTACTCGCGCAGTTCGGTAGGTCGGTTGGACAAGAAAAGAAAAAAAACGTTCCTTCTTTCAAACCAAGAAAAAAAGAAAAAAAAAAGAGAGAAAGAGAGAGAGAGAAAAAGTCAGCCCTCCCTCCTCTTTGAATTAAATACGAATTCGGAAAACTCTTCGTTGAATTAGAGCAACCTTTTTTTTTTCCCTCACTCTTGCTTTCCTCTGCTTTGGGCTTTGGATTCCTTTTCCGCACAACGAATGGTTTACACCGTTGCGAATTTGTAATGAATAAATAAGACTATTTGGAGAGCACCGTATGGTGTCGGTTTGTACTTGTATGCAGTCGAGTGTATAAACAGGACGGGGCAGAAGAAGGAGGAAAGTTAGAAAAGGATGCAATATGCAAGATGGAGAGAAAGAAAAACGGTATTATATCAACGATTATCCCCCAAAAGGCCACTCAAGTTATGTTATCAAGATCCGCAGGCGCGGGTTTTATGTATGGTACGGTACGGTGTGGAGTGTGGGGGGTGTGCCGGCTCTCTCTCTTCCCTTTCCTTTCCTTCCCTTCCCCTTCTCCCCTTCTCCTCCCTCCTCTCTTCTCTTCTCGGAGGCGGGGGCGGGTATGGGAGATAGTGCCGGTACCGTATTCAGGAAGCAGCAGAAGAAAAAAAAGAAGGAGAGAGAAAGAGAAAGAGAAAGAGAGCCCCGAAATATAACATCAAACAGTGCGGTGCCGGAGGAATTGGAACAGCCTCACTATCTTAGAAGGACCGGAACCACTTATCTCTCCTTCCTCTTCTCTTCCCTCCCCTCTCCCCTTCCCTTCTCTTTGAGGAAGAGAGAATGAAAAGAAAGAGACCTAACTCGAACAAATCGGTTGTTCATACAAATCGCGCGATCACGGGGGGGGTGTACTGTACCCCCCTCCCCCTTGTCGATGATGATAAGGGGGGGGGGGTTAGGGGAAAAAGAAAGAAAGAAGG